TTATGAGACATAAGTTGACAAGTCACATGTGTCTGTAATTTCACTAGCGCTATAATCCTCAAAACCGGAACGCAGTAATGCTCACATTACTGCTTTGTAATGATTATGGTTTGTATGTGTGCCGCTTTACTCCACATTATAATATAATAAAATGAATAAAGAAGTAACTAAAGTAAACTAGTCTAGCAGTACTAACGTCGTTAACACGTGTACTGCGGACAGCGTATGCAGCGGAGCTTAATCTGTTGGCCAGGGAAGATATATACCTTCCCACATATGTGGGTACCATTGAAATTTACTATAGGCATGATGCATACCACCAGACGCACAACTTACTCGTCCCGAAACTTGGTAATCATTAAAAATATGGCACCCACTTACCTACCTAAAATGTATAAAAAATGAAACTAACAACAACATTTTTGATAAAAAAATTACAAATTATTTAATAGATAAATGTTTTTACACGTTGCAAGAGTTTTTTGACAGCAGTGACAACTTGTAAATGTTGTTGACATTATCAATAATTAAGATTGTTTAAACAATATTTTACCTATAGTATAACTGTGTTAATTTCAATTATTTTTTACTATTAACTATTTTGATATTTTGTATAAATCATTTAACTTTTATAAAATATTGATTTGAATTGTATATCGTAAGTGAAAAAATTTGCGGTGCCCCTCAGGGTGACATGGTTGAACTATAAACTATGTTTAAGAACTGTATTACCCATGTTATGCAAATAATAAATGAATTATGAATTACCTACAAACTACAAAGTTCATTGCATGGCTTCCAACAAATGCACTTAAAAGTACTAATTGTAAGTAAACCAATCTCAAATATTTTGCTTAATACTTAAAAAAAACCTTGGCCATCTTCGCAGCTACCATAAACAAAAGGGTTGCAACGGTTAGGGCACAAAAACACCTACTTCACCTTTATCTGCGCTCAGATTTCTGCTTCCAACTTAACATATGCTGGGGCTAAATTTAGCTCGTAACATAGATCTGAGCTGAGTCCCACATGTTCACAAGATGGTGCAGCCTCGACTTACATCGGATTGGCGCGAAAAAACGCGACAGCTTGAGTTACAGGATGCACTTTTCAATTTAGGAACATTACTACATGCTCTTAATCCTTATCCGGCTTCAATTTCATTATTTATGAGACTTTCTTAACTCCTAGTTACCTTTACAATATTGCTACGTTACATTATAAATGCGAAAGTAACTCTGTCTGTAACGTTTTTACGACTAAACCGCTGAATAATATGATGAATTTTGGTATAATATACGAAAAGTACTAGACGAAAGTTTCTAAGGCGAACCAATAAAACTATGAAAATTAATATAATACAGTAGGCTATTCGAAATAATTACTCTACGCAAAACGAAAGGACACCAGCTAGTGTAAAATATATAAACAATAAATAATTGTAACTTTTTTCCAAGTTTTATTGAAATCGGTTACCAGAAAGTGCGCCAAATCGGATTCATCCCTGTTACCACCCTTTGAAGTTGAATATTTTCCTCAAATTTAAAGAGACCAATACTGAGGAGCCCACTTTCCAAAAAAAGAACCATCACAATCGGTTCACAAATGCCGCAATGCCGCAAATCGCGTAAGGTACATACAAAACTTTTTTAAAGTCGGTTTGCCTGCATCGAAAATAACAAATTTTTATAGTTGATTTTCATCAACGCCTACTATAGGTATTGTTCGACAAATTATTATATTCCGTGTTGCGCATGACAAATGGTCAGGCGTTCAAAAAAACATTGTGTCCCGGACTTCGGTACTAATAATAACAATTATTATGCTAGATATGGAATTCCCTGTACTATGAATACCAGAGTAACGAAGTTCATACTTCGAGGAAGAAGGACTTTACTTTTGAAAAATTAAATAAGTAATAGTAATTCGGTTAATTATATTAACAATAATAAAAACAAGATATAAAAAACATGAGGCGATGGTTTAAACTAGATATCCCAAATAATAATATTAGTAGCCATCACATCAATTAAGTGCCTCCGTGACCAAACAGTTACTGTGCTGGTCTGCCACGCAGAGTTCCTAAATTCGATTCCCGGGCCGGGAGAAATATTTGTATAGCCTACATTTATTTCTCTAGTGAATTTGGGCGTAAATGTGGTTGGCTATGTGTGAGCCTACACTCGAAGTACGAAATCTGTAGTTACGCCCGTTAAAAAAGGCGTTTGTAAATTTAGATATGCACTAATAATTACATACCAAACTATTCTTTAGTTTTGTAATCTTTGTAATACAGCTTTTAGGTTATGTTTTAGAAGAAGTGTCTTGAAGTAACCATGTTTAGTCAATTTTCAATGCGTTACATGTGTGATAGGTACCAAGTGATCGGACGAACAAGTCGTACGCCTGGTGGTAAGCGACTCGTCTGTCCATAATGGCTGCAGTGTAGCCCAGAACTTAAAATCGCAAAGATCTGAGGGGCACTGCCCCTACGCCCGTCACCCATTGCTAAAGTTTTATGGTCACGTTGTTGACTAGATTAATAAAGAAAGATTTTGGCAGCCATAGATCTCCTTTGGAATGAAGTCGTCCAGGGAAGTACTGCCACCTTACCTATTTCTGCCGCCAATATGTAATGTGTGCATTTACTTGCGAAATTGCAGGCACATGAAACTCGTCAACTTATGTCTCAAGATGGCGGACGCAGCGGCAACAACCCGCAGATTTTTGTGATTTAAGCACTCAAACGTTATGGACAGGCATGTCGCTTACCATCAGGCGTACGACTTGTTCTTTCCGTCACTTAGTATCAAAAAAAAAGAGCACTTTAAATATCCATTCTGCCCGTTTACCGAAGCATTATCATGTTAATATTTAGTAATACATTCTTTTGATAAGGTCGAATTGAAAATTATCCTTATTTGTACTACAAATTCATAAGGTACATTTCCTCGTAGATTGTAACAAGAAACTTAATTGCAATCCAAACGAATCACAGTACTGAACCCTTCACAATTAGTAAACAAATTTCAATACTCTTATTACGTGTAAATAAAGTCGAATATTCATTATATTCAAATAGTAGTATTTCATAGGTAACAATAGTAATGCCGTAGTAGATTGGCGCGTGCCATCGGACAAAGCAAAGGGCGGCCAGCTGGCGTGGGCGCACACACACAGACGCATGTGTATTGAATAGAAACAGATAATACGTCAGTTTTATACATTATCTTTTCGTTTATCAACTGATGATCAATGTGTCTTGTGTATTTTGAACACAACAATTATTAGAAAGTATATATTACGATATAACTAGAAACACTTAATTACATTAAAACTTAAAATGTAAAGATTTAGATTTATTCATTAAAAGTTTTTGCAACCTCAAACGGCTTTGCTTAATTCCGCGTAACAGAGAAAGTATATATAATAAAATTGAGACATATACGGCGTGATAAACATGATTCTTAAAAATGTTCGAGATAAAAACTACACAAACTCATTTCGAAATTTTACAAGAAAACCGCTGTATTCAATAGGTACACATTTTATATATCAATTAATTATTTTTTATATCAACTGAACTAAATAGAACACGTATAGTACTTATACGACATACATTTTTCAAACTTAATGGCTTAATTTCGATTGTAAAGAAATAGATTCTGAATAAAGCCTGTGTCCAGCCGCTCGACTCTCGTCTCTCTTACGGAAAAAAAATTAATTTGAGCTGAGGGTCGATCTGAGCGGTCAATTCCTAAGAATTACCATGATTCAAAATAATATATGTTTGCCTTATCACACAGCTGTCCTTCAGAATGTGCTAAACTCCTGTTTTTTTTTAATCATCTAGAAAATTAGAGTAGTTGAGATAGTTACTTTAGAAAGATATCGTTAATCGCCTAAGTCTCTAAGTCTATAGGTTTAATATTGTCTATTGTTAAAATAATTTTCTATGTAGTGGTAGATATTACATTATGGAAAAATACATATGTGAACCAGACGTATTTGAACCCAAAAAAACTAAATAATATCGAAAAAAAATATCACCGTTGCACCGCAGTTCCCACATTGAAACTGTGGAGCTCTGCGCTGCGTTTTATTTTGTCAGAATAAAAACTTGCGTTTGTGCGACTAATAAGCCACCTTTATACGTAATTATTACCTTGAATTTAATTAGGTATATCTATATAGTCTAATATTGATACTACAGCCGTTACTATCGTTCAATGCTTATGATAATATTTCTTTTATCTTTTGCGTAAAAGAAGAGAATGACGCAACATTATGAATATGTAATTTGAGTACTATGAATATCATTTTCATCTTAAACTTACGATGAAAAGAAACCATTACTTTTTCTCAGTAAGTATACTCTTATTACATCATAATAAGCGATTTTTAAATAAGTAAACGATATTGTTCAGCGCAGAGCTCCAAACCAACCCCCTGCGCCGGCGCACTCGTTTTCCGAATTCCATTGAAGCACGCGAACGGTTTTAGCTCCATTGCTGTGAATGTGTGCAGTGACATTTGTTTGATAATATTCATGTGTGCGTGAACACACATGTAGCGGTAGATGGGTGCGACACCCCTTCAAAATTGTAGTCCGTTTGTACCCGGATTTCGATGTTATTAACAAGTTTATATTTAATTTTTCTATAACACCATTATAATTTTCAAACTTCGTATTCAATTTATCGGCAAGATATAATAACTGCATTTTTTTTAAATCTTCGAATTACGACTTGTTTCTTTATCAGCAAAAACAAGTCAAACTTATCAATTTGTAACGTTATTCGTTAATTACCTGTTATCTCTAAAACTATTTAATGGAAACATATTTATTTCGCCGATACCATCACATTTACCTGAAACGTGTTACAAATGTTATTATGCGAGGGGTGGGGCTTTGTTAGCGTTGAACAGGAACGCTTCCCCGGTCCGCCCTTTGAAAGAGCATGTGTGCAACTAGTAAACGTAAGTACCCCTGTTGATCCCCCCGCGAACCACCCCAGGTGCGTCCGCGCGGCACGCGCCATTCTCGCCGTGGACGGCGCCCTGACGCCACCTAACCATTTCAACCACCGTTATACTAACTGTAACACTCTACGTGACCTCATCAGGCAACCACCCGAGACTAATGATACACAAACACTCGTAACATGTGAAAACGGCAAATCATCACGCCGAAATGAGCTCGATCGGCGTCGTCGTCTTCCGTAACTCGCCACTCGGTAAGGCGCAGGTGCTCCAGGAATCCGTGAATAATTCCATGAACATAACCAACAATGGAACCCCAAACGTGCGACGAGAAATCATCATAGTGAGCAAGAAGCAGAAGATACCTACTCCAACGACAGTGTCAGTGACTTCATTAGTGCGTGCTGCAGAGCCTATTACTACCAATGTGATCGTGAAAAGACCGAGGCTTCGTGAGAATAGTGTGGAAGACAATGGACGCACGCCTACACCACTGGCTGTAGCTAGACGCAATGCGCGGGAACGGAACCGAGTCCGACAAGTTAACGATGGCTTTGCTGCTCTCCGACGCCATATCCCAGAAGAAGTTGCTGCCGCATTCGAGAGTGTCAACTCGAACAGAGGTCCAAACAAAAAACTGAGCAAAGTGGAAACATTACGTATGGCTGTTGAATATATACGGAATCTCGAAAGTTTGTTAAATATTGGCCATGCTGATAAAGAAAATAATACATCAAGGCCATCCATGGATTCATTTCCTTCGCCGGCATCATCCTCGCCCAGAGAAAATAGCCAGGAACGGAGCTATTTCTCTATTCACTCACCCGCTCTTGACGATGAAGATATGGAAGAGGATGAACTTGACGGTTCTGTACACCAGCTACCACAGCAACAGTACGTTGACCTAACCATGCCAGATACTTTTCAACTAGTCTCTACTCCACATCTTTATGAAGAAGAGGAAGGCATCCAGCCTTTGACACCTTCATCTGATCTCATTGGCCACGAAGAAGTAAACTCTCATCTTCTCGACGGCCATTTTCGTTTCCCGAATTCCGCTGAGCAGTTTACAGTGATACCGGAAAACTATTGTAATGAAGGGGAAGTAAATGACAACGATTTTGAAGTGAAATATGCCGAATCCATTCATCAACAAATGCAAAGTTACGGCGACACAGTACTGCCCTTAGAGGCAATTAACGCTGACTTGATTCTAAACAGCGAATATAAGTTTAAAGAAGAGGATACTTTCACAGAAAACCAATACAGCGATGTGGAACTGAAAAAAGAGCTTCCAGATATTCAAGTGACCCCTGAAGACAGGGAACAATTTGAAGAGACTTTAAAATGGTGGCAAGAGAAAACGAGGCAAAATCCTATAGTCAGAAAGAAGGATTAATTCTATCTGAGCGTTACGTATTTACTAGATTAATTCCAGATATTTATTATGTACAATGTGAAGTGATAGTAACAGTCATACAGCTGTCAGTGCCAAAGACAGTGGTCGACGCGTGCGCAAGGTGTGCGGTAACGGTCAAGATAATAAACTGTGCGCACATCAAACATTTCATTCCTGCTTGTTTATTAAGTTCACTAGAAAACAATGTTTATCACAGTTATAATTACACTAGTGATGTTGTAGTAGAACCTTCATATATGGTCTAAGTTTCGCCTCTGTGGTACTCTTTAGTAGTTTTGTCGTATTTTATCGTATTTATATGATTTAGTGAATGTTATCATAATAATGCCATACATTAGATAATTTCTAAGTGTAATAATATATTACGAATGTAAATAGTTTCTGGCTAGGGCACCTAATTATCATACAAACTATTTCTAGTGCCTTTGATATAATCTTGTGATGTTATTTTATTAGCTAATAGCAATTCTATGAATGAATAAATGTTTCTAACTTCCATAAAAGATAGTTTTTGTGCTAATAATAAGAACTTACAATATTTCTCCGTGCAATACCATAACTCTTTTAACCAACTATAAAAAAGGAGAAGGTTCTCAATTATTTTTGTGTTTCTTTTACGCGATTTCTTTTTTTGTTGGAAAGGTGGTACCTCAATATCAGTGCCATTAAAGTTTGAAGAAAATATTCCACCTCTAAGGGTGGCAACTAAGCGATGAATGCGCTTTATTGGATTTCACCCACTTTCAGTTAACCGATTCCAATAAAACTTGGCAAATAGACGTAACGAATACAGTAAAAGCGGTTAAACAAACTTTTGTTGTCGGTTTTTTTATTAAAAAGTTACAATTATTTTATATGTAGGTATACTCGCGTTGTAGTCCCATTGGGGTAGGCAGAGATTTTCGTTAATCTACATTCATTCATGATCATAAAGCATATTTTTCTGAATTTTTATTTCATCGTAAAGGTAAATTTGTCCACTTGCAATGAACTATCACACATCTTATATATAAACTAAATAACTTTTACATTATTAATAATATTAATAATATAAAAGTTTACAATTTTCAAATTGTGTTTTTTCAGTTCCACAAAGGAATACCGCGTATTCCATTTAAAAATTCAAAATTTACACTTTAGGTCATGGGAGAGACGAAAACCAAAAATAGATATCCGAAATAATAATAATGTGCCAGACTTTAGAATCGGTAGAGTTCCTTGTGAAAAAGATCGGTCAGGGAATTACTTACCTACTTCTGCCACCAAGCAATAATGTGAACATTACTGCGTTCCAATTTTGAAAATACAGGCACATGGGACTGTCGACTTGTGTCTCAGGTCTCAGGGCGACGAGCGCAGTAGCAGTACCCCTAAAATCTTTGCTATTTAAAGCTCTGACAGGCATTGCAACTGTTATGGATAGGCGTGTCGCTTGCCATCAGGTGCACGGCTTGTACAACCCGTCACCTGGTATTATAAAAACAAAAAGGAAAAAAGACTACCACACCAAATACCAGGTCTCTAACTAGGGAATTTTCTGTAGTATGAATACCACAGCAACGGTATTAGGGCACCAATTGAACAACCAGTTATACCTCTGGAAATCAGATTCAGGGCTAACAAGTCAGCCCTTTAAAGGTGACACAAGTACCCATTCATCGTATAGGGGCTTCTTGAAAATATTATTACATCTATTCATAAGTATTAAAGTGACGACCGCAATGACCCAGTAGTTAGATGTGGAGCATTAATTTAGGAAACAAATTTTATTTCACTGGTAAACTGGTTGATTCTCATAGAACAGTGAATTTTATAGCTAAAACATATGAAACTTGGGAGAATGTAGAAACTTTCTCGTGTTTTTTGGTGCTATAACAATATAAGTGTGCTCAAAAGTGCCTGTTGAGACGAATTGTGGTTTTTAATAGTTATTTATTAATAGTCTCTGACTGCTCAATAATATGTGAAATTATTGCCACATTATTATTAGTTTGTGTAGGTGAATGGTATGGTGCAAATGAGTGCCCACACCATTCACCTACCTGTTTTATGTAAGCAATAAAATGTTGAACAGTTCTATCTTTAAAAAAACTCATCTAAACATTTTTAACTATATGAACGGAACCAGAAATAATATGCAAATAACAAGAAACTACTCTACCCGTTGTTTAGTCCAATGGACGCTAGATGAGTAGATCCCAAGTTCGATTCCCGGTGGAACCAATTTGTGTTCTTTTTCTGAATTGATTCTAGTTTAGATGTTCTGGGTGGTGTCGTTCTTGCGAATTTTCCTGCTTTTGTGCTCATAATGCAGGGCATTCTTATAGTTTCAGGTTTGAGACCAGGTGTATATGGTGCGATTATCTGACACTAAAAAAACTAATATAATAATAATAATAATACAATAATAATAATAAAGACGCACACACTCATAGCCTCGCACTAGAGAAACTTTGTATCGCGGGTGCCATGGACATACACCCATAGGCAACCACAAATGACACCCAAATTCACGAGATAAATAAATGTAGGCCATGCCAATATTTCTCTCGTCTCGGAAATCTAACCCGGGACCTCTTGCGTGGCAGTCCAATATGTTAACCGTTCGGCCACGAAGGCAGTTACCAAATGTCTGCCAATATCTTCTCACCCCCTCACTGACTCAGTGGCAATGATAGATATCGGGCCAATAACGACATTCTACTAATTCCATCCCATTGAGACAAAACCCCTATGGTAATGCAGTCACATTAACCGCCAGTAAATGACCTACTTAAGCACTTTGGCGCTAAGCCGAAGGCGGGTTGCACCGTGAATCTTTTACAAAGAGTTAACAGAGGGATTAATCTTAAAGACTCGTCCATACATACAATACGTAAGTAGTTATTAATAAGGTTAAAAAACTTAGTCTAGGTTATTTTATAAAGGAGATAAAATGTAATTAAAAAAAAGACCGACGAAGACACTTTGGATATGCACTCTCTTTTCCAAGCCCCAATACAGGCAGAAGAAACAAAAAACCAAGTAGAGAAGCTGGTGCAAGACAACATTATAAAAGAATCGTTCTCACCATGGAGCTCTCCTGTCCATTTGTTTCCAAAAAAAAAAAAATACATCCGGTGTACTAAAATTCAGGATGGTCATTGATTTCCGTCGTTTAAATGAGTTCACTCTCGACGATAAGTATCCACTACCAAATATTACCGACTTATTTGATAAATTAGGCAGTAGCACTTATTTTACAACAAGTGGCTACCACCAAACTGAAGTTAATGAGGCTGACCAAGCTAAAACCGCTTTTAAATAAATAATTTAAAAAATAAATACCATTTGGGCTTAAGATCGCCCCAGCGACCTTTCAGCGCGCAATGGACAGCATTCTTAGGGACTCCAAGGCATACATTGCCTCGTCTACTTAGATGATATTATATTTATTATTATCATATTTTCATCTAGTTTACAAGAGCATTTACAAAAACTACGTACGGTATTCGATAGATTACGACAGACCAATTTAAAGATTTAACTCGACAAATCTGAGTTTTTGCGAAAAGAAATACTGTACTTAGGTCACACAATTACTAGAGACGGATTAAAACCCAATAATGATAAGATTAATCGTCTAGTTGTTTAATTGTCAGTTTTAATGTAGTTTAATTTTTTAGTTTTTAAAAATCCTCCCATCGCTCCCGGAAACAAGACTACCTTGTTAGGGTGTAGCTAAAAACTTAAAAATAGAACACAAACAAAGTAATTAACAAAAACAAAAATATACTCCCGAACACATAATTCGAACCACCGCGATCGCGTTTTTGCCTCAAAGGGCTAGAATACAAAAACAATTTATCATCGAAGAAAAAGGTTTCCCCCGGTTTTGCAAGTCTGAATTTCCAAAAAGGACTTACGGAAAAGACTTAAATTTCTAGTTTAAAAATTGCGTAAGATAGTTCTTAATCAATCGAACATTGTTTATGCTTAGGGTATTTAATACTGATGCGAGGTGGCTCGAATTAGTGTCCGGGAGTGTATTAATTACACATTACAAATAATAATTAACGACGGAATTACATTGTTTTAAATAATGAAATATCTTTATATACTAATTATTATTGTTAGTCATGTAGGAACTATTTCAAAGAGGTCATATTTTTTCTCCGTTTAACAATTATTTTATATTCGAATAGCACTTTTGTACTAGAAGGGACCTTAATATATTAGATAAGACTTTTTTATCTTTTTGAAGTGTTACATCGATATTTCGTCGTAGATTGAAACCATCACGAATGGAATCTAAAATCCAGCTTAACTAAACTTAGTGCAATAGGCCCCAAACGTAGTCCGTTAACGGTAAGACGATATCGCTATTGTAATTATAATGTGCCGCCGTTAGCCGAAATAAAAAATGAACCATTTTTTATTTAAAGGGATTTTATTCTAAAGGGAGCACGAACAATCAAGTTGATTAACAATTTCGGGTTCCAGAGCTTTGGGGACAAATTTCTAAGGCCAATAATGGGAAAAGAATTTGCTCTCTCTTCTGGACTCTAAGCACTTTATATTAATGTACACCCAGGGAAGTACTGCCACCATACCTATTTCTACCGCCAAGCAGTAATGTCAGCATTACTGTGTTACGATTTTGAAGGGTAAGGGTGCTGGTGAAATTACAGGCACATGGGACTTGTCAACTTATGTCTCAGGATGACAGGCGCAATGGCAGTGCCCCTCAGATCTTTGCGATTTAAAGCACTGAGTGACACTGCTACTGTTATGGACAGGCCTGTAGCTTACCATCAGGCGCCGACTCGTTCATCCCGTCACAGTATAATAAAAAAAGACATAAAAACAAAAATATATATATACGTACATATATTACAACATACGCTTCTCGAAGAATGTAAACAATTTTAAAGTTGGTAAAATATCATTTCTTGCTTCGTTCCGCACGCTCCCACATATCCGGGGCGGTAAGAATTTTAATTTCCCCACTAGGGGTAAGAAAAAAAATTTTTTCATCATCAAAAATATGGCCATATTTTACGGGGTAAGCGTCTTGCACGCTATTTTGGCTTCCATTTAAACATTTTCCGCTTCATTCGTTAGACTATGTTTCTGGTGATTAAGCAGTTTGATACGCGTGAGTGTGATCTTCGTCTAAGATAAATCATTCGTTATGACGTAGCATTGTTTGGTGTGGGATAGTTCCAAAAAATACCCATAACGGGTTGTAAAAGAGTATAATAAAACGGGGATTGCAATTTTGCATCTCAATGTATCCTGATTCAGATTCAATAGTGAATACACAATGACCTTCAAAAGTGGATTGTTGGGTTCCAGGCAAAAGTACCAAGCAAAAAATAAGCTTTTTTAAAAGCAGCCCTAAGTAAGAGCTGCTTGGCTGAGGTTTACAAAACGAATTTTGCCTAAGCTTGAAGCAGGAAATTATAAAGAAAACACAAAGTTTAATTTCTTGCTTAAACTTTGGCAAAATTC